CTACCATACACCGACCGCAGCCGGATGGAGAGCCAAAACCTCAGCCGCAGCCCCCGCAAGCCCAGCCACCACCGCAACGAACACAGTCTACATCTTCAGTGCCCATTATTCCCCCACCATCTCGCACAAACAGTCTACGTATGGGTGAGAGCAAGCCAAGATTAAGGGTCCAAATTCCAAGTGAACACTCGGATGCTGGCAGCGCAACTGCCGACTCATCGCCCAAGGATTCTGGCACAACTGGCGCAACACCAGGACGAAGCACCGACGCATCGCATTCTTCAGGTGTTGTCCTTCCTCCGCCTTCGCCGAGCGCCAATTCGTTGCTCAGTGCTGGTGCAACAGGCCCGCCAAACCCATTCGCTCGTCCCCCACCACCGTCAAACAGCAACTCATACGGGAGAAGCAATGACATGGAAACCCCAATCTCGGCACTCCCCAGCCGATTTGTGGAGAATGGCCTTCTTCCTTCTCCATCAAGCTTTTACCCTGAATGGGGTTTTGGCCGCGATTCCAACATGCTGCCGAGTCCCTTGACCTTTCAGACTCCAGTAGCTCCAAACGGCCCTAGCTTTGCGCGGGATGACTCTGCAGAGCGCAAGCGAAAGACATCGGATCAGGGGTCGGATGACGGCAACCAGAAGCGGGTCAAGACGTGATGGGAGCAACGAGTGCGGAACCCTTTTTTTCTTATGCACGGCCACTTGGCTCCGGTCGTCTGTAATTGTACAAGCGTATCTTGTTCGACCCGGCTGTTTCTCTTTTTTTTTTGCTTTTTGATCTTGGGCAAGCTAGCCATGCTCGATGCATGCACCCCACATATTACTGGTATCCTGTTTGTTGTTGAATTTTGGGTGCAGGGGCGTTGGATACCCACGGCAGCTGTTGTTGTTATTGTTGTCTGCTATTCACTATCTCTTTTTACAATTTGATGACTGCGGGCGGGTATTTTCTCCACACACTAGCAATAGCATGACGAACGATGAGTAGTTGAGTAAGGTCAAAACTGTTTCTTCTTTGTACATACATAGTAATACAAATGACATGTTGGCCGAGTTTCTAGAAGCACCGAATCAGCACCATGCCGGAAAGTGGCGCGACGAAAGACCAGCTCGTATCAGGCCAGAAAGGCAACGAGTGCAGTGATTGGATGACTGAAGTCGCTGACTGAAGTTATTCTCGCGTGTGATGGTGAAGGTGGGCACGCAGCGTCATAGGGCCAAGCCGGTGCCCCGCTACGCTTGCCGCTGCGGCTGCGCCTCTACCCAAGGCACCCTCGCTGTAGCTGCCAGCCGCAAATGGGCTGTGAAGGAAACCCAAGATTGGGCTTTGACTGTTTGAATCTGCATAGTTTCTTTGACGGCGGCGTCCTCGTCTACCGGTGCGTCCCCTTGCTGGCATCTTCCTCGCAACTGAACTCTCCCCCTGTCCACCTGACGGCTGTTTGCGATCGCCGAGCACCTGAAGCTTGGTGTCACATTCATATATCAGCCCTCGGCCTTGCCAACAACTTGCTCTCACCCCTCCAAACGCCCACGACCAATTCAATCACAACATGGCGTATAACAAAGGCTTCAACCCAGACAGGTTGCCCATGCATGCTGAGCCCGAACAGGTCCGTCTTTGTTCAACTTGCAATACTACTACAGGTGCAAAACTGACGTAGCTCAGGCTGCCGCTATGATGTCGCAAAATGCTACCACAGCCTCACGCCCACCGCGCACAAGCTCTGCGCGCCCTGACTACAACAAGCCTCCACCACCTGTTCCCAACCAGCGATACGATACACGTCCAGACGACCGCTATGGCGGAGGAGGTGGTCGCGGTGCAGGAGGAGGTGGAGGAGGAGGATACGACAGCCGACCCCCGCCAGGCGCATACAACGATGCGCGCTATGACAATCGTTATGATTCGCGACAAGACAATAGAATGGGCCTTGGATCGCCTCCACCAGCAAACTATGGTCAAGGACCGCCACCACAGGGCTATCATGGAAGACCTCAGCTTGCGCAGCAGTCAAGACCCCCACCAACGCCGGCGCCCGCCCCACCAAGAGATGGAAATGATCGCGAGGCCCTGTGGAGACTGTTTGGCGCTGTGGACAAAGACAGTATGCCATGTTTACATTTGGTCAAATTGACAAGTAACTAACCATTGCGACAGGAAGTGGTGAGCTTACAGAAGCTGAGCTGCGAACTGCCCTTGTAAACGGTGACTGGACGCCTTTCGACCCCCATACTGTACGCATGATGATTCGAATGTTTGACACCAACAAATCCGGCACAGTCAATTTTGACGAGTTCTGGTATGCCATTCATTGCCTCCCACTTTCCATACCCATGACGAGATTCACATACTAATGATCTCTTTTTCACTCGTACAGTGGCCTCTGGGGTTTCCTCTCTGCCTGGCGCGCTCTTTTCGACCGCTTCGACCAGGACCATAGCGGCAGCATATCATATGCTGAATTTAACGAAGCCCTGATCGCCTTTGGATACCGTCTTTCCCAGCAATTCGTCACTCTGCTCTACCGCACATATGACCGCGACGGCCGCAATGCACTCAGTTTCGACTTGTTCGTCCAGGCATGTATTAGTCTGAAGAGAATGACGGATGTTTTTAAGAAGTATGATGAGGATCGCGACGGTTATATCACGTTGAGCTTGTAAGTGGAACTTGGTTTGGGAGATGCAACCCCCTCTCCGTTCATGATTTCGGTGAATAAGTTTTGCTAACAAGTACATTTTCTGTGTCTGCAGCGAGGAGTTTCTCACAGGTGCGCAAGCTTTGTTCCTCTTCAACTCGATTTCGGCCTCCACTGATACCGGTCTTTACTAGAAATCATCCGCCAGCGATGAGCTAGCGCCACAGGACCAAGCACGCGACTCGATAATCGCGCACATTTGCTATATATGAGACAAAGTTACTCATATCTATGACCTGAGCACTAGCTTTGCATAAAATCTAACATGGCGGTCTACATGTACCCCTGGTAATTTTGGCTTGGCAGAGAAATGGATATACTTAGGGCAGCTGTTGATTTACCTTGGAAGAGAGAAGAGCGAGGGAAGCAACATGTTAATGGGTATATAGTAAACGCATGTAGTAGTACGCTGGGTGATATCTGGGTAGGGATATGTGGTTGTGGTGTTGATTGGGTGGACGAAACTCCCTCGTCAACTTGATAGCAGACAGCAAACCACATTGCTAAAGGTAAATGAATGTAGATACCCGTTTAGTAGTTTTTTTCTTTTCGCATTTTTGTCATGTTTTTTGCATTGAATGAGTTGAATTTCGAATACAAACCTTCACATTTAGTAAGCTTTTCATTATACGCAATCTCTTCTTGCCCCTTCATATCTCGCCCTACTAACCTAATACTGAATTCCCGCACCTCCACCACTTTCAGTCATACATTTCCCTCCCTTGCCGCCCCTCCTCCCCCCCCCAGACCCCCAGACCCCAACATCATGATAATAACAATATGTTCCCCCACACTATTACTGCGGCCTAATACCACTTATCGCCATGTCCGATTTGTACATGAGAATATCAAGATCGTAGTCATCATCTTCGTATACTGATGTGGGTATAGTTAGAAACACTGCTTTTCTTTTTGTTTGAATTTTTTTTTGGGGGGGGAGTTGTGAGGATGCGAGGACGATATGGAATGGGAATGTTTTACATGGTTTTTTTGCCCAGGCATGGTTTGTGATTGGATTGGTGGCTGGATTGTAAATCGACTTTGCGAAACTGGTTAGTTGACATTTGCACACAAATGGTCTTTTTTTTTGGGGGGGTGAAGCGATGGATATGTAACGTGCACACGTATTCAGATACTAACGGCGTGGTCTCTATGGATGGTACAATTGTGAATGGAGTGTGTTATCGTAGATATTGATCCCTCCTGCAAACTTTCTTTCCACTCCGATGGAACATCGGAGTGAAACCGATATTTACCATAATCTCATGTTTGAGGAAGAAGAAGAAGAAGAAGAAGAAGCTGATGCTGAAACAGCGTCGACACTAAGCTCACATATCTGGCGTTGATGCACTGTCGTTTTGCGAAAGACAACGCCGATTCGATATATGCGCCCTTCCTGACTCTGAATCGTGACATCTTCATTGTCGCTTCGTGTGGCGTTACGCTGGAGACGGAGGAAAAAGCCATGCCTATCAGCATCTGAAAACGTCGCTCCTCTCATTACGATAACGCAGCTAGTTGCAATACACAAGAAAATGGTAAAGGTAGAGGAATGAGAATTCAATGGCGCTTCAAAGCACAACTCAGTCATTTGAATGGACGAGAGAGAGTCTTCGACCCTAAGGACCATTGTATCCGGATCCCATATAGACTTGTGTTCGTGCACCCATCTACCGCTAAACGATGCGGTCCGATGTGTTTGATTTACCATTTGATATCCCATGTCCCACAGAGTTTCCGATGCTTCGACGACGATGTCTACATGGCCCCACCAGTATGAGTGTAAGTCGTAACCCTCACTGGGTTCTCGTATGGTGATTGTTTGATCAGCTGCCTTTACAGCATGTCTTGCACTCAAAAGCACTGTAGTGTATTCAACCGGTTTACCAGAAGACCAACGGACTCGGACACTATCACGGCTAATTACCGTCGAATGCTCAATGTTGTCTGCATTTGCGTGGATGAAAATGCCCAGGAATTGCCTTTCTTCACCTACTGAGCAGCCAAGCAGTCCAACCCAGTACGAATATTTAGCAAAACCATACTGGGATACATACAGACTTGGTAATTGTATAGTTAACCCGAGGGTTGTTAGAGTAGGCGAAGTGATTGGGTTTATAGCGTATTCCAAATCGCCGCAATCGGTGAAGTCCTTGGGCGATTTTGCCAGTATATCAAGACTAGCATTCTCGTATATTATCGAGTGCTTGAAATATTTGAACAGAGGTTCTGTTTGACGCTTGATGTCAAGCCGCGGCCCCCAAGCAAGTATTGAATCGTCATTCACTCTTCGAATAATCTCTTCTTGCAGGCGACGAAAGGCCCGGTCACCTTCCCCGTACAGCAGCGGCAGGTTGATGTTGAAAATTCCCAATAGACAGTAAGCCATGTCTTCTGTACGGGTCGTCTCTCTTGTTGAGGCCCACGACATTCTCTTCGCAACGCAGTGATCACCAAACATACCGCCATTAGCATGACATCTGGCCCTTGTCCCCTTCAAAGCGGTCACATCTATTCCCGTTATTTCGGATATCAATTTCGAATGGCCAGACTTTCGGCCTAACCAGTGCCACTCGCAGTTGTAGAATTCAACGTCTCTCGGTGCCAAGAGTTCTTGTAGCGTCCAGCCTCTGGTAAACCATCTACTTTTGCGAAACTGTTCACCCATCCCTTCTTCCAGGACATCTGAGAGATATGCATAGCAGTAAATTGCGTCCCTGTACCAAGCAAACATGGAGTTGATAGCCTCGGAAAGCTCTGAGCTGGATCTCTTATCAATGCAGCAGGTATCAACCCATGCATAGTTGAGCTTATCACGGATTGCTTGTTGGCAGGTAAACTCAATCTTTCTGTATCCTGCTCGGGCTTGCGTCGCTGGTGTAGAGAGAGGGAGGTCAAGGAATGTCACCTCGTCATTGCTCCAGGTGTGTGATAGGATGGCGTAAGGCGGAATATTGCTGCCGAAGAACTCTTCGAGCTCAAGGGTTAAGCAGTTTATGAGACGCATTGTGGGAAATCTGTTGTTGTGATTGTTGAAGTTCTGAGTGTAATGCAAGGCAACAGCAGCGGGGTGTTCGTAAAGAAGGCTGGAAGGCTGAAGGCTTGCTCGGCTAGCTCTAGCTTAGTAATGAACATCTCTACACTGTGAACACTAGTAGTTCACGATTGCGTTGATTGATATCGATGAGATTTTCTTCTCTTTGCCATCCTTGTTTCCCCACGTCCCTATATGCTCATCTCGCGTTCTGCATCACTCATGACATGGAAATAGGGTTCAACATATCAAATTCTACATAAATCTCCACCAGATCGTCTATGATGCAATCTGGTATCCGGGGGGTGGGTATATAACAAACAGAACAAACAAACAAAGGAAAAACGTTACACCTCAACCAGTCAATCGTAATACATGTTCGCATATCTCGGTATCCGTACACACGTTCAATTTGATTCTTCAAATCCAGGCATTCGTTTCATCCAGCGCGCTCTCTACGCGTTGTGGTATTTTCTTTTGTTTGGTGGATACTCTTAGATGACCGACTTCCTGGGGGTGTGCGAACGGCGCTCTCTCCAGCTAAAGCAGAGAGCTACGAACCAAGTAAGGACAGCAAGGAGCATGAGGCCAGTTGCAGCCCATGTCAAGGCGAGAAACTTGCCACCATAGTGCGATTCAAGGCCGATTTGGTTTCCGTGTTCGTTGACGACGTCGTTACCTTTGATCATGACAGCAGTGACGAGGGCGCTGGCGACGGAAATGGCTAAAAATGCCGAGAGACCAAGGCCGATGTTTAGAGCTGCACTCAGTCTTCCTGAAGTGAAGATGCCAACAAGGCTGGCGACGAGGGTCAAGAAGATGAGGCAGATTGCGATGACGTAGAGAACGAACATGGCTGCCATGACAGCATTCAACGCATCGATGCCCTTCTGGATGTCTTCTGGCCATTGGATGTCTCGTAGGGTGATGTCTATACCCGATCTGTTTAGGGCTTGTTGGATGATGTCGGTTGGATTGAACTTGTACATGGCCTTGTTTTTGGAGCATTCGGTAACGTTTTTGCTAATGTCGTCTTGCTTCAGGGTCGCATTAGCCACCTCGTCGGGTGTGTACTGTCCCTGGCAATAGTTCAGCATGTGTGCTGAGTACCAGTCCTCGATGCCAGCGCGCTCGCGGAACTCGTCTATCTTCTCATTGATTTCATCGGTGATTGTATTGGTGATGGAGTCTGGGATGAGATCGATGATATTAGACAGGGTGGAGTCGTCGGAGTTTGAGACTCTGCTGACGAGATTTTGTCCAATGGCCGAGGTGTTGAGTGTGAGGAGCGAGTAGTCTTCCATGAAACCCTTCTTATGGCCTGCAAAGAGACAGAGGAACGAGAGAATCAGGGCTGCAGTACAGCATAAGACGGGTACAAGAGCGATGAAGCGCATTGTTGCGAGTTGTTTGTTGGTGTATTGCAGTGGCAATGAGTGCTAGTGAGCGACAGTGTTGAAAGAGTACGTGAACAAGGGTGGCGTGAGGACGCGCGGGCAAGAGCGACTGAAGGACTTTGTTGTCCACAAACAGCGGCGAAAGGCACAAAGTACTGCACTTATAGGCGGGCATGCCCACCCAAAGCCTGGAATGCGACGGTAATGAGTCTGGGACCCGCACGTCACTGGCGCAGGGTCTCATCGTGGAAGCAGCCGAGCAGGCAGCCAGTCAAATAACGGCTCAGCCATAAGATCAACGTCTTGGGCGACGGATCTGACTGGTTTTAGCACACCGACACGACGTTGACGTGGTTCTGGGCGGCTGTTGTTGCGGGCCCTGGGCCGATGACGTAGACAGTACCGCTAAGCGAAGCTGTCAAGCAGGGGCGAGAAGCAGGAATGACTGACAGGACAAGATGCAAATTGACCGGTTGGGCAACAATAGGAGCGAGAGAGAAAAAAAAGACAATCTTCACCGCCGTATCACGCCGGCGTGGGTAGGTCTTGTACCGGCAACAAATGCGCCACGTTGAGGTGGGCTGCACAGCCACTCTGGTGCGTAGTGTAGGTACGTAGGCCCATGTGTACCTGTGAGTTGGCCAGTCTGCGGCGCTACAAGCATTACCCAGATGGAACGTGAAGCACGTGTGTGTGTGCGCAGCACCAGGGGGGGAATGTTTTTGTAGACTAGTATTTCGTCTATGGGTTTTGCTATTTGAGTCTATTGCTCCTTGGCCCTAAGTTTGTGCTAATTTGTGGGGCATCGTCTATGATGCCAAACATGCAGGTTGTTGTTTTCGCGAGTGGAGCAACCAGTACTTCCCAAGTTGATGTTCTTTGCAGGGTGTAATGATACCAAGTGTGGATGATAGGGTCAAGGGACTGTGTACCGCGTATGGCGACTGAGGGTCCACCGGCTCGGCAGCAGCCGAGTCTTACGAGGGAGACTTTTTTGAGTTTTTTGGTGGTTGTGGCGGTGTTGCTGACGATGATGAAGATGCGCGAGCGCTGATGCCGTCTGTGAATGGCGAGTATGGCGCGGCTACTGAATGGGGCGGTGCGCGGTGTCCGGCCTTTGTGCGTGGGGGCTCTGCCGAACCCGGCCACCTCTTTTGCTCTTCATGCATCTTGTCAAGTGGTTCGCCGACGATGTGGTACTTGTCCCAGTTGATGGGGGGACATCGCACAACGTTTTGCGGCTGTGGAATGGGAGGGAACCTTGGGGCACTGGACTCTGTGTCCATGCGTGTCGAGTCCCTGGGAGCGTCCGGATTGCTGGCGCCTTGGTCATGGCCCAGGCCAGATAGGGTGGGCGTAAGAATGTCCTGATACGAGTGCGACTGCTGGGCTCGCTGTTGGTGGAGCGAGCGGGCAAAGGCCTGTGGGTCGGCTATGGCGGCGGCCTTGAGGTCCTCGAGGGCCTTGAGGTCGCGCTTACTCTTCTCGCGCTGCAGCTGCAGGAGCGATATGGCGGAGCGCAGGGCAATGGCATCGGGATTGTCGGTCTCATCGATGGCGACCGAGGGCGGCTGTGGTGTGAAGGTGGCCGTGGGCGGAGGGGCAGGGCGGGGTCGAGGTTCGCTGCGCTCCACCGGAGCTAGCTGGGCAACCGCTTGTGTGGGCGTCAGAGGCGACACGGGGGGGCGGTCTGGGGTGGGAGACTTTGAGCGGTTGGCCGAGTGGTGGGAGCGCGTCGAGGCATCGCTGGACGAGGCCGGGCGGGTGCTTGTGTCGACCAGGAGCGCTGGCATGGCGGCGTGGAGGGAGAAGGACTCAGACTCGTGGCACTGGGGCCGGAGCGTGCTGAAGGTCAGAGCGCGTGTGGTGTCTGGGCTGGGCCTAGGGGTGTTTGTGCTAAATCTCCGAGAGATGCTTCCACTTCCACTTCCACTTTCACTTTCGTCGCGTGTGGGCGGCGGCGGCGGCGGCGATTAGATGCAGACACAGTGTCGACTCGTGGCCCGGCCGGCCATGGCACTTGTGATTTGCTGTGCGGACTTGTAGTGTGCCAGACTGCCCATCACACACACGCACACGTCTTCGCCGTTTGCTGCCTTGTCCACGGAGCGCTCTGAGGAAGAAGCCGTCGGGGCCAGTCAGCGGGGCAGAATTTCCTGTGGCCAAGGGTTGGTCGGGTGTACGGGTGTTACGGGTGTGGGTGTGGGTGGGTGCACCCAAGCACGAGGCGATCTCGTCTATCGCCCTCTCTGCAGCACGCCATGTTGCTCTGTGTCCTGTCGAGCAGTTAGTAGTCTACTCGGTGCGTCCATGTCGACCCAGGGCACAAGCTCTCTGCATCTACTCCTACCAGCTATGCATGTGTGGTTGTATGTGACCATGTCTCTGTTTGGACATGGTATGCATCGACGCAGCCAAAAGTGACGTGCACCCGCGGTGCTGTAAGTATACGAGACGAGATGAAATCAGTCCATCAGTACTTAGGCATGGGCCGTGCATGCACCGTTGCAAGCCCCGAACGCAGGTTGCTTCGGGTGTTCCCAGCATCTGCAGACGCCTCTGTCATGTCCATGGCCTTCACCGTGCCGTCTGGCGTCAGGCCGAATGAATTGCGGGTTTGCCTGTCGCTCAGCCGACATCAGCGGCCCGGGGTGATGGCAGGGCGTAGCGAGAGACAGCAGAAGGCTGGACCTAACTGAGAGAAGCTTTTGCAGCTGGCGCCCACTAAGAGCCACTGGGGCAAGGTTTGCAGACGGCGAGCGAAAAAGCCACAGGAAAAATTACCTGGCAGGCCGACCAATGGCCGGGGCTGGAGGTTGGGCGCGACTAGTAAGGAGATGGAGAGTAAGTATGTATACTTTTTACTAAGTATAGTAAGCATGTATGCGTGTACACTACTGACATCCATTCACACGTAGGTAGTATGCAGCCTGTATACATGGCCGAAGGGAAAAAAAAAGGCCGTCGTTGCACCTGGCCCCTATGGCCAGCCAGCCAGCCAGCCAGCCAGCCAGCCGTGCCTGCCTGCTCTCCCACGAGCGCCTGCCTCATTCTCCCCAGCAGCAGCAGCAGCAGCAGCGGGGGTCCCACGACTTCCTCAATGTCTCCACTCGGCTTCATAACTTGCACAATGCCATTACCCACACCCTCTCCTATCCTCAACCCCCGACTCGCGACTATCCGCTGTCTACACACTCGACTACCGGCGCCTGCGTGACGTGCGCCCCGCCCATGAAACAGCCTATCCAATTAAACCCCGCCCGCCCTGGCTCCACTCGCCGCTAAGCCCTGCATGGACGCCGTACCGAAATCACAGTCGTTAGCCATGCCCCCGGCGCGCATACCCAGGCTGAGGTACAGAAACCCGTTGCCGTCCGCCAGCCTTCCAAAGTCTTTCCATGGCTCTGGGCCCCACCCTGCCTATTCTACTCAAGAGCCGCCCGTCGCCCCGGATCCAAACTCCAACCTCCCATCCACCCTCGCTCCCTCTCCCTCCCAGCCCGCCCTCGTGACGTCATCCAGTCTGGCTTCCCTACACTCGAGCACTTCTTCTTCTGGAAATGACTCCAAGTCATCCAAGAAGAAGAAGAAGACCAGCTCCGTCCTCGGCTTCCTCTCGTTAAAAGAGCCTTCACAGGCCGCCCTGGACCAGATTGTCCAACAACAGCGCAAGCAGAACAGTGGCTCATCGACTCCCCCCTCTGCCACCTATCACGCCAGCCAGAAGCTTCCTCCTCATGTCCCCAAGGTCAACTCCAAATGGGACGGCGTTCCCGGGTCCGTCAAGCAGAGACATTCGCCAACATCCAACCCGTCAATAAAGGACAACAGAAGCAGCGTCTCATCCAAGAGCTCCTTTGGCTCCCATCTCAAAACCAGGCAATGGAACCATTCAGACCTCTCCATCATGACCGATGGCACACGTAACCCGCCAAACTCCATTGCCTCGGTCTCCGTCTCCAACCTGCCTCGTCATGAGACAGCCACGGGTCTTGGCTCTTCGCCTTCCACTGCTACATTTCCCAACGCCAGTCCCTACCTCGCAGATGGTCCACTCACGCCGACTTCATTACACTCACCATCTTTCAGCACGCAAATGGCCGATCGATCCAATTTTCAGTCAACGACAAACAGGCCTTTGGATTCACCTTCTGGTAGCCGTCCGAGCATGGATGGATCCATTCACTCGCGACCACACTCTCCTGCCTCTTCCACCACATCAGCAGATACCATCACAATGGATACGGCAGATACCATCTTCAGAAAAATGAACGATCGCCCAAGTCAAGGTACCCTGGGTAGAGAAGCGCCTGTCGCCGAACTACAGGATCGATCCAAACCAGACATCGTGCCAGAATCCCATGATTTTCTCTTCCAACCACAGCCACCGCCGCCACCCGCCATCAACACGCGAAGCATCGATCTTTCTGTGGCATACAGTCGTTCCTCGGACGAATTCATCCCTCCGTATTCCCCAGTGCGGCCTGTCCAGAATTTCAGTCGACCCACTGCCCCCGCTGCTCCCGCTGCCCCCACAGGCCCGCCACCAGTTCAACGCAATACGTTCATGGCACCTTACAGAAGACCACCCCAGGCGCCTGCACTACCCACTTTGTACGAATCTTCATTAGCCAGCACCGATGAATCTGAAGATGACGATGACAATGGCGATGCTCGTTCGATTGCCCCCTCGACCATTGCTCCTTCCGAACTCTCTCTCCACTGGTACGAGTCTCCTCGTGAGCGTCTCGGACTAGGTAGGCGTCTTCAAATCAACGACGTCTTGCCCTGGGATGAGCAGAGAGGTGGAAAGGGTAAGCCTAAGAAAAGTCGGCTGTTGGTGTTTGGAAGAAGCTCCTCCAAATGATATGCTTTGCAGGCAAAGCATGCCCTCTAACGCATGACCCACGGGAAACATCCCCCTGTATCCGGCCCTCGCCCAATTCTTTTACTCAGCGACTCGTTTCTTAGTACTTCTCTTCCCCCCCAAGTTTTTTTCTGCACTTCGCAGCACGGCACACGCTTGTTCACTCCATCTACTTTTACGTACAGTGACTACAAAGAGGTCATTTGCTTTCCCATCACGATACCCATCTCATGAACACCTTCCGTTCTACTTTTATGGCTTTTATTAGAATGTGCTACTTTACTTAGCTATCCCCTACGAATTCATTCCAGCGTTTCTATTTCGTGTAGCTATAGAGTAACTTGACCAACTAATTCTAATTACTAAACAACGCATTGTATCTCTTCTTTTATAATTACGTGATGAAATGCGATCCTATTGATGTGCTAAATTCAAAAAAAAATTGGTAAGAAAGCAAGCCTTGACACTTGAGTCGACAGAGGTCGATCCAACAAGACAACAATTTTGTCAAAAATATATCACAAATAACCTACATCGTCGAGTCATATCAAGTTCTTCCTCAATCCCCTAAACTTCCCATTCCTCCGTACTCGCTTCTCCTCCTACATCTCCATCCCTCCCCCCCCCCCNTCAACTCATTCTAGGAATGAGAAAGAAGGACAATTAGAAATTAATCTGCCATCTTGGTGAAACGGCAAAAAAAAAACCCCCCTTCCACCGATGCACCCGACAAAAAAGGTTTTGTATTAGGAATAAAGTGGAGAAATAATATGCGTGTATATAGGATTTAATGTACAAAAAAAAGTCGATTATGAAGTTGATGTGCTGGTAGAAGGTACTTTTTTTTCTCGCTTGATTGTTTTTTTATCAAGACGAATGGGTAAGGGTAAACGTGGGCTGATTTTAATATGATGTGTTCGACTTGGCGTGTAATAGTGTCGGGTTGTTATCATGGGTATACACTTGGTGGGTTGCGTGTATGTCTTGCTTGCTATCAAGAGTATTTTGGGGGTGTGAGGCATTCTGGACCATGGAAGGGGGCGATCTTTTGATGATTGTGGTTGAGGAGCTTGGAAGAGATGATGAGATAGGGGGGGACGCCATGGAGTGTTTATGTAGTGCTTTGGATATGCCTTTCCCTTACCCCCTCTACCCCCTCCTTTTCTGTTGATTTGCATTCGAATTTAACTGGCAAACCACTCTTTTTTTTTGGTTCCAATTCATAGGCCCCGAGTTGAAAAGAAAATACCTTTGGGAGCTAATAGTAGTACTAACGGAGACCGTACGATGGTGATTTATTGCTGCTGTGCTTGTTTAGAGTCTTTCCGCCGATCTGGGACTGGCGGAAGATTTTGACTAGAGGGCCTATTGTACCTAGGTCTCTTTGTGTAATCCTTTATCCTTCGTTTTCTTTTTTTAAACCAAGGATATATGAAAAATTAAAATAAGACAAGAATGTTGGGTGTTTACTACGGTTAGAAAAAAATCAATAGGATAGCGCTAAAGAGAGAGATGGTTTAGTTGCTTTTCTAACGCGGTATCCTCCACCCCCAATATGACACCCTGCCATATCCTGGCTAAGTGCTCTTCGCACATATGTTGGCCTTCAGCCTCATTGCTTCACCATGATATAGTTACTAGTGTAGGCATTTAGCTTGGGAATAAGACCTTTGAAGTTGAAGAGATGTCATGGCTAGAAAGTAAGCATGGTTACATGCAGAGCCTTGCTAACTGATCAGGATAGAGTGGCGTTTATGGTTAGTACGACTGTAGCGTGAATCTCAATCGCATCTACGTAGATAGTCTTTTCAGGGAGCGTACCCTATCAAGCTATCCAAGAAGTACTCAAATGAATGTGGTGTTGTTTGTTGCATGAGCGTCTGGCGATCATTGTCCTCCCATCATACTCTCTTTGAATAGCTATCCAAGTACTTCTCGGACTAATCTCTAAATCACTGCTGCTAATCTCTCGTATCGTTGCCGTATTGATACAGATATCAGTGCTTACTAGAATACCCGTCGTATGACATCCGGTCCTTCTACTATAGTATTGGCCTAAACTATTGGATATTTCGTGTGCTTCTTGTAGCCGAATACAGCATCCATCAAGTTGTAGCTTCTACATCCGTTTCTGCAAATAAATATCTTAGTCCTTGCCTGATATGTATATCCAACAAATCTTTCCTAACTTCTTCTTTATTAGCATGCCATTAGGTGCACTACCCGCACCACCTGCGCCATCAGACGCTGGTCTTATGTCTATGCCAGCCGTTCTTGGGGTGTCTAAAATCGACAAAAACAATCTCTATAACGCTACCAACTTTGGCAGGTTTGATGCAGAGCCTTGGATGCATCCAGAGGCATCTACAGTTGGTGACTAAGCCAGTTGGCCCGAGGATATCAAGAAGGATTTCATTCACAATACCCGAATTAGGCTACAAGATGTTTTTGGAGGAAAAGCTAGTAGGGTGATTTCTAAGCGGTAGCTTGGAACCGACAGCTCCGTGCGAATGTTGGAAATGCCCCGGTGAACCGCGATGCTACCAATCGTCGCCAACTGCTCCAGATGCAAGAACCAGCCTCAGATGAATGAACTGCCTACACTCAGATCTGCTCGAAGAAATGGATAAGGACTTCTTTGATATGTGAAGGGACAGCGTTGAGAGTAGCGTTGGGTACCGGAAGGGGACTTACCGTAGCAGCTGGAGTTGTGATGGCTGGATGGACGCTTCGCATTTGCGACCGGCACCTATCGGGAGTGTATCAAAAACTGCAAGAGGTGAAGCTTTATGAAAGCAGCAAACTATCGCTAAAGCATTCCACGTTTGCTTCGCGGTATGTGCTGGAAAGTGAGAAATAGTTCAAATTGGATATAAATCAAACAGTAATAGTCACCTATCAACAATTGCCTATACCCTGTCGGCCAAATCCAATAGAAATAACTTGACTGTGTTGAATTCTATGACCATAAAAGTATACATGCTTTTCCCAGGTGTTCATTTAAGCAGCAACACTGACCTTGAAGCCTTCAACCTCTGGACTAGCTGCAAGGCTTTCTAATTTCTCCTGGTAAGCGACTGGGCCTGCGGCAAGTCCCGCCGTCCTCGCCTTTCTCACCAATTCTTCCATGCTTTGTGATTTCTTAGCTTTGAGACCTTCAAATCCCCCAGTAAAGTAGGTGGGCGTGCAGGCAGCCAACGCACTATACAAAGGCGCCCTCCTTGCGAGCTCGTCACCCCATTTGCTTTCAGCTTCTGGACTGGCTTCAATGATTACCTTTTTCCCGTCTTCCACCTGCATGTGTGCCTTCTTGAGTATGGACGCTAGATATCTCGCCATCATATCGTATATGGATGTCATGTTCCACGAAGCCCTAGCCCCGCGGGCAAAGTAGGAGAAGAGATTTGGAAAGCCTGAAAGGGCAATGCCAAGAAGTGGCGCGTTACCCATAGTCTCCGCTTTATGGGACATGGTTTGCCCATTTCTTCCCTGAATAACTGCATCAATCTTTTGAGAAACATCGCCGTTGTTAACTTGAGTAAATCCAGTTGCGAGGACTAGAGCGTCAATTTTGTACTCCTGACCGTCATACACTAGGCCATTCTCGGTGAATGCCTGCAAGCCCTTTCCGTCGGTGTCGATCAAGGTGACGTTGGGTTGGTTGAATGTTGCCAGGTAATCGTCGTGAAAAGTGGGGCGCTTGCACCAGCTGCCGTACCATGGCTTTAGCTTCTCGGCTGTGTCTTTATCCTTGACCACGTCGTCAATACGCTTGCGTAAGGCTTCAGTACGCGGTCGGTCAATCCGATGGAGTTCTCGTATGTATGCTTCCGTCTCGTGTGGCTCGACTATCTTCCTGGTTGTGCCCAAAAGACCTTCGCCAGCTGGAGTATGAGTCCATCCATCGTTCACAAGATTCGGCCCGTAACCTTGAGGGTTGTTGCTGACCCATGCATTGTAATTGAGTCGCCGGGCTTCGACAAGTCTTTGAAATGCTCCTCATCAGTCAAGCGGTTACCGCGATACCCACAGTATGACGGTGTCCTCTGTACAACGTACAAGTGTTTGGCCCACTTGGCTAATTCGGGTATGATCTGCACCGAAGTTGCCCCTGTACCAATGATTGCAACTGTCTTGTCTTTGAGGTTGACCAAGTCTGGCTGTTCCTGGGTACCGCCCGTATAAGTATAGTCCCAACGAGCTGAGTGAAATACACGTTTCTTGGCTCTGAATTCTTCCCAACCTGGGAGCTTCGGGATCTTTGGAATGTTCAGGACGCCACCGCCGACAATGACAAAATCCGCAAAAACAGTCAATCGCTCAGTCTTCGCATTTGCATCCATGGTACGTGTCAACTGTACGACCCAAACCTTCTTGTCGTCGTCCCAAATTTGCGAATCGATCCTGGTACAAAACTGGCCCTGGATGCCAAAGTGCTTAGCAGCTCGCTCATTCTGACCGCGAATTTCGGCGCCGTAAGAATATTTGTGTTTGGGCACATACCCTGTCTCCTCTAGAAGCGGCAGATAGATGTAACCTTCGACATCACACATGAGCCCAGGATACCGATTCCAGTACCTGTTGCGCTGGTTAACTGCTGTCTCAATTTCAATGGAAACGGGGTAAACTGTACCAGGTGCCGCCAAATCCACCCGCTATATCAACGCATACAATGTCTTTTGCGCTGAACCCAGCCTCGACCAAACGACAAGCGTAGAGGAGGCCACAGTGCCCAGCTCCGTTGACTAGAAACTTTACACTGTCTCCATCCTTGAGGGGAGGATTCTGAATCTTTGGGTCGTTCCAATCAACCCATGGGTCCTTGGCAAGATCTTGAATTTCTTTTGATCGCGTGTCTATGTAGTCGATGATAGCTGTATCCGCAATGCGTTTTTCACGCTCTTGCTGGTATTTCTGGAGCAGGTCCTGCTCGTCGGGCTGAACATGAGACATTATCAATTGTTAAGGCAGTGCAAAGTGGCTAAGGAACGGATAAAATGAATTATGTTCTCAGACTTGAACACGTGTAGTTTGAGAAATATGGCTTGCATTGACTTAATTTATAATTATTTTAGACTTCAGTCTGTAGCCATGTGATCGATATCGTTGCGCTATCTCCCTTCTTTCCATGAGCGATTTCGTCGTCCTCGGGTCCCGTATGCTAGAACTCAATGCGGAGTGTGGGCCAACGAGTATGAAAATCGGCACATAAACCGATTCAAGGGGTAGTTAGGTCCCTTGTCTAGTATATCGTGGGCGAGCCGACCAGCATCCGGAGGCCGAAGACCAACAGGATTTGATGTGGACAAGCGGAAAGCATCCGGGGCCCACATATCCTAATGTGGAGTTGGTATCTAGGACCTTCGAAACGCGTACAGCATCTCGAAGGAAGGTGGCCCTTGAACTAATAGGAAATAGTATGATGTGCATTTCGAATTATGTAAAAGAGGTTCCCCGCAATGCGCACGCACAGAGCACTAGAATAAAGAGCATCTGGAAATTACCGTCAATATCCGCACGGAACACGGGTCCAGGCAACTTCCGACAACGACAACGACAATCATTCCTTGCGCCGTTTATTCATTCGGAGTAGTGGACCTAGAAAAACCCTGCTGTTAATCTATTGTCGCTTCTGGGTATGGAACTCCCTTGGTTAGTTGATCATATACTTGGTAGATAGCGGAAGTGAGGGCAGTGATGCGGTGGCAAAACTCGAGATTTTGTAACATATCATCAGATCAAAAGCTTCAATATATCATAAGCTCACTAATACTAACACACAGCGAGATGACACGTAACCTAAAGCTTTAGTTATTAAGATGTAACATTACCTTGATACAGTGGTTTTGACCCATCCGAAATCTCACCGAGCAAAACTCCCTATTTTCTCCACTGCCCATACTTCCGCCATCTACCAAGTAGTAATACCGCTAAAGGCGGTGCGTGACTATTCATATTGACTAGATAGAAATGGTTAGCTTTACTTGAGCATTCCCTATGACTAGAAAATATTTATCCAAATAATATGCTCGTTCATCTGCAATATTTCCAATTTATCTCCATCGTCTAGTCAGCGTACGTGTTTCACTTCGTCACTCAACCGAATAAAGCGGCAAAAAAAGAAGAATCAAGAATATGAGGGCTGCAAGATACTACGGCGTCAAAGATGTGCGCATTGAGGAGATCAGTATTCCAAAGCGCCCAGCAGATCATGTACTCGTACGGGTTGCATAGTGCGGTATTTGTGGGACCGATCTAACGAATTATCACAACTGTAAGATAAATTCTTCCCCTTCATTGTACGGATTTAACAGATTAGATCCAATGGGCACACCGGCTCCAGGGACACATGATCATGTAACTGGGGATACTCTTCCTGTGACCTTGGGTCATGAGTTCTGCGGTCGTATAGTTGAGGTACCTGAAAACTGCCCCTTGGGAGTTGGACAAACTGTCATGGTTGATCCTCGCCTCTATTGCTCAGAATGTTCCATGTGTAAACAAGGAGATACGAATCTTTGCTCCAAGTTGGGATTCGTCGGCTTAAGCGGAGGCGGTGGGGGTGGTTTCTCAGAATTCGTCGCTGTCGACCCCAAGCGATGCTACCCCATTGCCGACTCGAGCCTCGACACAGTATGTCTGATCGAGCCTCTAGCAGTTGCAAGACACGCCCTGAAGGTGACTGGATTTTCTGATTTTCGAGATAAGTCTTCACTTATACTTGGCGCTGGACCAATAGGACTCGCAGTCATTCACAATCTTAAAGCAGTCGGAACGGGTGCGATCTTTGTATCGGAACCCTCTTCGTTGAGACGAGAGTATGCAAAAGATCTTGTCGACGCTGGAATCAACCCTCAAGAGGTGAATCTTGTGGATACTATTGAGCAGCTCACTAATGGTAATGGGGTTGATATTGTGTTTGACTGTGCAGGTTTCATCCCTGCTATGGCACCGGCAATGTCATCTTTGCGCAAGAAAGGGAAATACGTCCTTGTGGCAGCTCCAGGAAAGCCGGTACGTTTGAATATCCCGAAATCTATCTCCCCCACTAATCAAATGCAATACCAGATTATGTTACCACTATTGGAGTGGTATGCTCGAGAAATAGCAGTCGTCGCCTCGGTTGCTTATAACGATGTTGATTTTCGTGAGGTTGTCGATGATTTCAATCAAGGTGCACAACTTCATTATCTGGTGTGACAAGAACAGTGGCTCACAAAACTTAGGAAAGTTTAAGGGTGTTGAGAGGATGGTCAGCAGTCGTATCCAATTGGATCAGTTCGTTAGTCAAGGGCTGGAAGTGCTGGTCACAGCGAAAGACGGGTTGCTGAAAGTTCTTGTAGAACCCAAATAAGTTGCTTTGAGGATGATTGCCCATGATCTTGTATATAATTAATCAATGGAATGAAGATATACTTGAGAATTTAAAAAAGCCCGAACAAAAAAACCATGTGTTGTCTTAAGAGGATGCGCAAGTGTTGATAAAAAAGATGATGATTCATCTTTCTAGACTGTCAAAGTTGATTCGTGTCTTACGTATAGAATCAGCTAAAGATTTTCAAATCGAGTGCTAATAGACCCGCTATTGACATGAGAATCGCGGTTTAGTTTTCGAATAGCCCTAAACCTATTCTCCATCGCCATTTTGCTCGTGGGATAGCTAGGCACAAGCGCATCAAAGCCGTGTAGTAAACCTGGGTAGACATGCAGTTCCGTTTCGATACCAGCATTTACAAACCTTGTGGCATACTCCAGATCCTCGAGCATAAACAGATCAAGCTGTCCGACATCCAGGTAAAGAGGAGGCAAACCCTCAACACTTTCCGCACGAGCGGGTGCTGCGAACATTGGCACTCCAGATCGCCCCGGTTCATGCCCTAGATATGCTGTCCAACCCGTGACGTTGTCAACTTCATCCCAAACACACACGGGTCCAATGCCCTTTGATGAATTTCGGTCATCTAACATAGGGTAGATCAAGATTTGCTTTGCCAGAGGCGGAGCCAATCCTCGATCTCGCGCCAACAGAGCGACTGCGGCTGCCAGATTCCCACCGGCACTTTCACCCATGACGGCAATGGAGGAACTATCGAGGCGAAAGTCGGCTGCCTTTGACAAAACCTATTTCAAGCCGGACCAGCAATCTTCGACAGGTGTCGGATATGGGTGTTCTGGCGCAAGCCGGTAATCAACAGAGAACACCTGTACCCCAGTGGCAAGGACATATTAAGAGATCATGGGGATGGAATTAGCCGCATTCGATGTGATGAGGCCACCTCCATGGAAATGAACAATTGCTGGCGCGGGAGAAGCTTGATCCATAGTGTCCTCTCTCTTGTAGTGGCATATCAAAAGTTGATGACCATCCGACGCTGAAATGGTATACTTTTCAACACCAACCCCTTTAGCCGTCGGTTCAATTGGTGCCATGCCAGAAAAGAATTTTCTACGACCCTCGACGTCGTGTAATTCTGGCTTTTTAAGTCCCGCGATGGCGCTCATTACTGGAGCTGCGGCGGCAACAAAGTCGCCATCCATACTGAGTCCCATGCTTGATTTGGTGTATGTATTCGATTTGGAGGTGTCTGCCAATAGGGCTCGAAAACTTGAATAAAGATATTTAGTTTGAGATTCTATCTGACGAAGGCCCCTCTAGTTCATTGCAGAAGCTGAACACAATAGGCGTTGCACTCGTGGTTTTCTTGTCTATAGCATTCTTTTGTGCACAAGTGCTGCGGAAACGGAAACTTCCACGAGCCGATTCTTGTGCTTGACTGTCAGGTTTGATTAACCCTTTGCAGTGAGTCTGAAGCTCGAGTCATGCTTACCCCACCCCATATATTGCAAGGTACCGGGATATGAATTAGCGTGTTCTCGGGGAAATCAAAAAACCAAGACAATGGATGCATAGTATGCATTTGTAATAGTCGGTAAACGCGCAAGCAGACTATGGGGCCGTCTTTCAGATCTGTTTTATCAAATTGAACACAGTCTAATACGCCTATCTTCTTCTTTCTCTCTCTTTTACTATCTCCCTTTTGCTCTCTCTTTCTCTCTCCTTATTTGAAACCTCTCTTGCTGTATCTCCTTTTACTCTTAGTTTAACGAAAAGGAAGAAGGAAGAAGAGAGAAGAGAGGAGAGGAGAGAAGAGAGAGTAAATTACAGCGCTAGATATTATAGTATAAAAATCCGAATTACGATTATCAAGATAAAACAAGTGTCGCACTAAAACACATCCCTATTTATGGTAGCGACGTTTACATATCACGGAGGTGGTCAAAACCTTTGCCGGTGCTAGCGCTTTCCTTGCAATCAAATTGACTTAGATATGATGAAAAGGACCTAAGGACAGAGCCAAGGGGCTTAGTGCATCGGGATCTAGGGAGCGGAGCGTCCGGAACGCTAGTTACTAGTACACTTATACTCAATGTGGGGAAAGTGCAACTTAAAGGAGGGGATATTGTACAATCCGAGGGGAAATATGGATATAGAAGGGTGAAGGCAAAAGGACCGATCGGTAGAATACGGCGAACACGATGAATACGACGAACACGGCAGATACGCGCGATACGGCGTATACATGCACTACGGGATCTACGATCCGACTTGGGAGTCACCCGCTTACCGAAGTAGGGCGTCAGTGCGCTCTGTTCCGGCTCGGCTACTAACCTTCCCGAGTATATTTAACGAAGCTTTTGTATCGTATTGAATCATAACATACTTTACTTACTCGTAACCCTAATTTGAAAACTACTAGTTCACAAGAATGTCTGATTTGCGTTCCAACAACACGAGCACTGAAGTTAAGGCCGACATAATCATTGTCGGGGCTGGGTTCAGTGGATGCTATGCTCTTCACAAACTGCAACTGATGGGATACACGGTGAAGATACTTTGACCACATGGACAAGGTGCTTGACCTTCGGAAAGACACCTATTTCAATGCTAGAGTCGAAGAAGTTAGATACAACCCGGAGAACAACACGTGGACCTTTAGAGCTAATGGATTGAAGGCTACATCTACTTACGCAGTCTTTGTAGTAGGAGCGTCTTGTGACCTATACATTCCGGACTGGCCGGGAAAGTCTAACTTTAAAGGCTAGTTGATCCATCCGGCCTCTTAGCCTGAAGACTTTAACTCGTAAGGTAAGAAGATTAGTATTATTAGGTAAAGAGCGTCTAGACTGTAAATTATATAGGAACTAGCTAAGGAGAACTGCGAACTTTTAGTCTTTATCTGTACCTCTTCGACGTGCTTCCCTATAAATAAGAAGACTATAACTATCTATTAATGACTCTAATAATATAAAAAGCTACTATAGTGCCATTCTTAGCTTCGCAAAATATAATATAGAGGACGGATATCCTTATAACAAGAGTTAAAGCAATTAGAAAGATACGACTGAAGAGCGACAATGCATTTGTAAATAGTTTTAGTAGTGAGGTGTTTTTGTCTTCTTATCCTATAATTTCTGAGATTTCGCGACGAATAAGGCCGTAAACGCTAATACATATAACTTTTAGGTGTAAAAGGTAAGGCAACGAATTAAGGATCCCGTTAAAAGAGAGATTCTGGCCCTGGAAAAATAGCTATACTAGCTCGGTGCAAAGCGACCTAGTCTGGAACAAGACTACTATGAATCTATGGATCGACCCATTGTCACCTCGATTGACCTTAAGGAGACGCCTATCTAAGAGTTCACCGCCGAGGGCATTGTTACGGGAAACTAGAATACTAGTAAGCTCTGCGAGTTAGATGTAGTGGTCGTAGCAACGGGCTATGATAAACTTACGGGTAGCCTTTTCAAGATGAATATCTATAGCAGAGACGGCGTCAAAATTCAAGACAAATGGAAGAATGGAGTTAAGACGCATCTAGGCATGACGGTGCCCGGGTTCCTAAACGCATTCTTCTTATATGGACCACAGGCACCAAGTTCGATTGCTAATGGACCGCCCTTTATCGAGTTGCAGGTGGACTGGATCCAATGCCAGAACGCGCTACCAGAATGGGAGAACCCAGGATTTGTATTCAGGAAATGCGATCAAAAACGTCATGAGCACGAGCTCAAGCTGTAGAATAGAGTTTCTACTCTTATTTTAACTGCAGAGACGCGTTATACTGCAAAAGGATGTTTTTCAAGCTTACATATATTGACGGCTTTGGTCTTCTAAGATATACCTACCAGGGCAGACACAATTTACTGAGATTGGCTCCCAACTCTTCTCGTGTTTTTGACCCAATGACCTAGTCATCCAAACTATCTTTACCTGATTAGAGCTTACGTTTGTGCAGAAAACTGTATCACTTGCTTGATGCTTTGGAGTACTATGGAATGGCATCCATCTTATTGGATATAAACCCGCCATGCTACTGGTTGCTATGAATCTTCCAATTTTGTCAGTGTTGCAAAAATACTGCAGCGCCGAGTAGGTTGAGTAAATGAATCCAACCAGACATATATCAATTACTGATGTATCGGGTTTTACGGGCGCCCCATCTAAGTGTATAGATGTTGGCAAAACGCGATCGTTCGAGTTTGCATAGCCCTGCAAAATATAAATAGATTTATCATTGATTAAACAATACATTGTGATGGGCTACGCCCTTAATGATAAGTTACTAAGTAGCGATTAGCGCAGCGCGCGCTGATCCCAAGTATATATATCTAGCTACCACGACAACAAGATAAGCTTGTTGACTTGTGCCAACCTTTTGGTTAAGTGGGCGGCGCGAGTAGCTGCGCGCTAGGCCGGATTCGGCCCACCCATTACATAAATACTAACAGCGTTGATAAACACGAAATCAATACGTGTGTGCTTTATTCAGGTTAATACAAAAGAGCTGGCAAGTTGATCGTAACTCGAGACATCGGCTTGTGCGAAACATACTTTCTCTCCGAGTTCCTGCGCAGTATTTCGTCCGCCTTCTGCATTATAATCTACAATTGCAACAGCCCAGTTTTGTTTGATCAAATACCCAGCAGCAGGGAAGTCGATGCTGGATGCACCGCCAGTAACGGTTGCAACCTTTTACTGAGACTAAGCTGTGGTGAAAAGTTTAGGATGTGAAAACAGTTTGAAGAATTTGACGATTCCATCTTGTATGTTGTCGATAGAGTCACGCTGTATCATGTTCAGAGTTAAATATGCTTACGATATAGTAATTAGCTATATAGGCAGCAGGGAATGGACTGTCAAGGACGAAGGTTGGTATACAATCTGGGGAAAAGTCCCCCATTAGGCGGGAAGGGTCGTTCCCACTGCCGCTAGTACTTATATACATAGGTACATTTCGTTAGCTCGAATCTTTGCTGTATAGTATTCCAAAGGGAGTATAAGTATACGCTGATTGTTATTCCTCTTACTACAATGCTCATATCTAATCGATTGTATAAGAAGAAGACTAGGATCTCGGAGTACCCTAGAAGACATCTATGCTTTTATCCTTGTTTCTATCCCTGCTCCCGTTATACGGCTCTTACTATACTCTTAGTGACCCTTATAGTACACTTGTATAGAAATAAAAATCGTTTATGTCACCTTACTGCGGTACAGGGCATAAGTTTTGTACGGTGGAGACGCTAAAATGAAGATCAGGACCTTCTTCGGATTATGTTCAACAAAAGATACGACGCTTACAGTATAGCTTCTATTCTATTGAGTACAGCGGTTACTCTCTACCCTAGCCTGTATCATCCCCTTGCTAGCGGACCCACATACATCAGTTATGCCATGCAGCACAGTAAGCCACGCCATCAACTGCGATGCAACAACACCGAAAGGCATTGCAAAAACGCAAATAAGGAGGCTCTAAGCAACCAAGCGTTGAAAGAGTGAGATGGGGCTTTGCTTAGTCTAGTAGACATCTACGGTAATCCACGGAACCTCTCGACTTCCATCTATCCATACCCTTTCTCAAGTATGGGTTCTCACAAACTATGCAATACATTAAGTTTTGGATGTTCAGCAACTCGTCCATCCGTATCCTGGATCTACAAAGGATCGCTGTAGTGAATGAAGTTTATTTTCAACCCTGTGTTCACTGATAGCGCAAGATAAGCAATTTCTTCAAAGTCACCCAACATGGAGTCTTTATCCTGCACGGAATCATCCCACGTATTACAAACTGTTGGATTTTCTTTTTTGTTCTTGGTAGCATTGCGCCTCTTTTCAAAGATTGATTACCTCGTCATAGTGAAAATGTTTCCAAAAGTGAAGAGTACACACGTCAATTCCAGCAAGCGCCAAGTCCTCCTGAGGTCTGTAAGGCCAGTCTATCGCGATGGATACCAGGCAGCGTAAACCTTATAAATAGAAAATATGTGTTCTTATTGGCAAGTTAATAGTTCAAGGAATGCGTATACCGAATTATGTCGCCAGAGAATGAAGACTTTGTCGTTCTACCAAACAAATTGCTACCTGGGGTCGTGAAACTGCCGGACGAATGCATTAGCTTCACATAGCTGTTGCACGGGTTTGTGAGACACTATTCTTAACCTGTAGCATTTTGAAACCAAGTGGTTGCTATAATACAAGTACACAGGGAACAGAACTGATGATCCAGATATGATCCATTCTATCAGGGCTGACTTCACGCCATCACACGGTAGGTGTGGATATCTTATTGCGTCGAGTCATTATTGATCGTTTACGGCGCTTGAATGATACTGTCAAATGCGAAATTAATATTGGCGTCGATACTCCCATACCCCTATGTAAAGATTGGACAAGGGTACCAGTATATCATATTGTTACCAGAGTCATCACCCAGGTATCTGGACGCCTATTTTTAGGCCAAGAGATATGTCAGACGTCAGAATATATTGACCAGGCTGTCAATTACACTACAGATGCTATCGACGCAATTATTGCGATCAAGAAGATCTACCCTTGGCTTCGATTTATTTTCGCTCCACGTCTTGCTGGAATCAGAAACTAAAGGAGAGAAAATGAAGAGCAAGGGATATCGTCAAACCAATCATCAACCGTTAATATGAGGCTTTTAAGAATGACCTACACTGTGAGAGACCGGACGACATGATGTAGTGGATCATGAATCGTAAATTCGCGTCGAATAGCGATCCCGATGTTTTCCAACTCGCCAAAATGCAGTTAATATAAGCTTTTTCTGCTATTCATACGGATTCGACATCAGCTACTAACATCCTTTTGACTCTAGCATCAACCAGCCAGCATGTCCCCGTAGGTGTGATGACCGAAGCTCCAACCCAGGCCATCTACATCAACTCAAACATCTATCCTGATAGCGAAAAATTTGATAGCTTTCGGCATTACAGAAAAGGACAGGGAGCAGCTCCATGAGAGCAAACACACTTGCGGTTTTTAGCTGCTAATGAGCAAGCTTGGTATTTGGACTGGGTCGGCACGTGTGTCTAGGACTCTTTTTTTGCAACTAACGAGATGAAAATGGTTGTTTCAAAGACGGTTCTTGAAAGTTGTATATGAATATGTTCAGATTTTACCTCCTATCTAAAGCCTCCCATAGGGCATATGGATAGGCAAGGCCTAGAGCTTACAGTACTACGTATATTACTTCCGAGTCTTACTTATCTATAAAGAGTATCCTCTAAACCATGAAGAATAACAGTTTTAGCCAGTTTTGGAGGTTTAGGCTGATGTATTCTTAGTGCAGCGCTCAAGGTAGGTTGGAGTTGTAGGCGCGAGGCAGACTATGAAAGATTATTGCGCCAACTGGAATGCATCGAATTTCTATTATCAAGTATTATATGTGAAGTACGGTTGAACTATGAAAGAGAAAATGCGACAAACAAAATCCATGCTGACTCAATCAATACCACTTTTACCATCAGTCCTCACCAGCCCAAGAAATTATTCTTTGGCATCCTCGAAGTCATCAGCCTCATCACTCCTTCGGATAGTAGGCCTCATATTAAATGCCTCTCCCCTCTTTTCCATCTTCCTCCTTTTCAACTCCTTCCATCCTAGTAACCCTATTATAAGCAATGCAACAACACCGACAACAGCACCCAGCCACTTGTTGTGGTCATCATTACCACTGAGATTGTTTCCGAGGAACCCGTTCACAAACCCTATGATCAAGATGACCGGGCCGACAACACGATGGATCTTTGCGAATACCGTAGGCCGCTGGTATCTCTTGTAATGCAAGTGATGCCACATGCCGAGAGCCCACTGGACAAAGACGAGACCAAAGACGATAAGACCAAGGATCTGGTGGGCGCTCGAGTAGGATGATTGCTAACCAGTCAGTACACATGTTCTAGGAGATTGTAAAGAGAGATCGGAGACAAAGCAACTTACATCATCATTCTGCTCACTAAGAGCGATACCAAGGCCTCCCCCGACTATCGTGAGCACTAAACCTGCGCTCTGCACAATCCAGTGCGCCCTAACTCCGTTCTTGGTCCAGCGAAGCAGGACGGCGCCAAGCGGGAACACGATGACGAACGCAAGAAGCATGAATGCTGCATGCACAGCGCTCATGGCGTCACTGCCCCCACATGTTCCTGTATTCTGGGCAGTCAGCAGCGCTGCGCCGCTTGGCACGCCCACCTGGCTGCCGTTGGTGCTTGTCGACGAGACAGACGTTGCATTGACCATGTCGACCCAGAACTTGCCGGTTGAGCTGTGCTGTCGGAGGTTTGCCGAGGGGGAGTTGCTCGAGAGCGAGTTAGAAGAGGACGCTGAAGGACCCAGGGCGTAGATGAAGTTTTGCTGCTGGTTTGTGAAGGAGAGGGTGCCGTCGTGTTGGCCGAGGGATTGGAGGTTGGTACAATGGATGTTTGTGGAGAAGAAGTCGGATGATGAGGATGAAGAAGATGAGCTGCGCTCTTTCATGGTACTGGACTGGGCATCCTTGTCTACTGTTCCAGATAGGAGTTTGCAGTCGATTTGGGAACTGTAATCAGGCTGACTCTCTCCGCTGGCCAGGCGCGTTGAGAGTGTTATCCCTTTCCAGTGTGAGTATGTTTTTGAGAAGGCGAGGTAAGGTGTAAACATGGGGACCTACCGTTTGCAGACTCATTCCTGTACACAATCAGCATCACGCTGCCAGCCATCTTCGAGCCTGTGCCAACACTGATCCATTGGTATGTTGTGGGTCCAGAAAGGTGTATGTAGGTATCGCCAGTACTGTTCACAGCACTCAGGGAAAATGTGAGGTTACCATGCGAAGTGGACTGGATGAAGGTTGCGTATCCAGGTTGGTCTTGCGAAGTGGATGCATCTGAGGCTACAGCAAGGCTTGAAAGGGCTGTTCGAGAAATCAGGTATGAGTGCTTGTTCTAGCTTCATAGCCATTTAAATTAATGTTTTTTTGGCTCACCTAGAATATATGGGAAGAATAAGTTCATGCTAGAGCACCTCATCTTGGCCGGCATTGAACACTGAGCCAAACGAAACTGTAACGATATCGCGCTGCCTTCCAACTCATCGCAGTATTAGAGGTTTATGTTCGTGCCCCATCGCCGACCACAAATAAGCTCGACCAATCACTGCTTACCTGTTACCAATGTACGCGTCGTGCACCAAAAGTCTCCCTTGCAGCAACCAGTCTAGCTCTCACGACACAGACGGAAAAGACGCGTGGCCTGGCGGTGACGCCGTGGATCGTGGCTGAGTGCACAATCAGGGACGGTTGACGCAGCAGTAAAGATGGCATACCAGCAAACATGATGACTAGGAGACTAGATGGGTGGATCAGCCATTCACAACACAAGGAGGCAGCCCGCTGGATGCCACGTCCAATCAACCAAGGCCAGTGACAACGACAAGCTGAAGCTTAAGCGAAATTGGCAAAAGCTTAATCTGGAAAGTTGGATATAGGTACGGTTGCTTTCAAGATGAAGATCTAGCAATGAATGCCCTATATGTTGATATAGGTGGCTTTTGGACATGATGGGGATATCTCCTGTAGACAAGAGTGTTAGAAACGACGTCATATGTTGTTCGTTGAGGTGACGTCTGGCACTAAAACCATTGCGCAGAGAGAAGTGCTGTTGCTGATACGGCTCTACACGTGATCCAAGGCGCTAGGTTTAAAATAATACTCCTTTCCATGCGTCATGGTACACACAGAGGCCTATATACGGGTCGAGAATGCAGTGCAATATCTTATAAGATGTAGATCAACCATTCCAAGACCTAAGTAAACAGAGCCCTTTCTCAGAGCGACGGACGATAGAGGATGTATGACGAAGATATGCGGGCCCTGGGAGCAAAGCGGTGTTCTTCGTTTGGTAGCAAGCACGTGATGCCGGTTGGCCGGAAGCTCGCCATGTGCGAAGGTACGTAGTATGGAACTTGACAGTGATAGAGAGACACGTTATACTTATACTAGCACCTTTAGTTAAAACGAAAGCGCAAATCTTAAGCTGAAGGCTGGAGATCACAGAGACGCAAGTAGAATGATGGAAAGTAGCGCATTGTCGCGGGCCCGGCCAGCGTGGAGATGGTTTGATGCACCGAACGGGCGGTTGCTACGAAACCGAGATACAAAAGTAATGAATAAGATTTGCAGAGTATGGATACATCTTATCGACAAAGAAAGATAACACGCCGACCAATAGTACTTTGCAGACGTCGTGAAAACGCTTACTGCTTGTCGTTGGCTGGTTGCCAGAAATCTTCACAAGACCAGTTTTGGCGATGCCATATTTCTTGTGGAGGTGATGGACATATCTGCTATAGCGAAGCACATTAACTACGACTAGTGGATCGAGTCTGTTGCGGCGCAGCAGTCGATGTCAGCTCCGGCATACTCGTAATAGGATCAGATTGCCATTGCCAGATGGGTCCGACACAATACGCCTTGCCCATCTTGAGCGAGGCCGAGCAATCTGCTGCTTTGAGGGATGGATTGGCCGCCAAAAAGAGCTCTGAGGTGATGCCATTTTGAACACACATGCTCGTGCATGTCTGCGCCGCATCGGCAACCACGAACCATCGTCCGCAACGCAGTGTAGTACCCTCAGCAACAGTCGAACCCTTGGGAGGATCGACGGGAGCATCTGTGTACCCGTCGCCCGGTGCGGGTGCCGCCGTAGGGCCGGTGGGGAGCGTGGCGGTTGTGGTGACATTGGCACCCTGCGCCCCCAGACAGAGCACACTTCCCAACACAGGCGTTGCGACGTGGAGGTTTGGACAGTCGAGGTTCAGCCACGGGTTATAGCGTCTGATATCTCCAAGCGTCAGGTTCTGGGCCATCTCGATGGAAACGCACGAGTCGTCCTTTTGCAGGGTGTATAGTTTAGGACACGTCAGAGGGAGACAGAGTTTCTCGCCTGCTTTTATGTCGTTGCATCCGTATAGCTTCGAGTTCGCCATTTTGAGCGCTGCCGATGCGACGCTGTTCGCGAGCGCAATCGAGTCGCATGTGTCTCCTGATTTAGCTGTGTAGAACTGATCCGATATGCAGAGACCGGGTGTCTCAGGCTCAAGACCAACGAGAGGCGGGGGAACTGTAGTGGGACCACTTAGGCCACAGGTCGAGTAGACGTACTCTAAGTCCTTTTTCCAATCTTCGTCGTAGGTCGAGTAGGCATTTGACTGCATCATGCGTAGCCTCTCTACGTGACAGTTTGAACACAGCTCATTTCGCGGCATTTCCTTGATGTCGTATACCGTCTTGAAATTATTCATGACATCTAGAACCAGAAAGTTAGACCATGATGTATGGTAGGACATGAGTGCAGAGACGACTTACCTCCGCAGTATTGTTTCGAGCTAGAGTCTATCTGGCATGTCTCGTTCCAACCTGCCCAAACGATGCCACCAGAGCGATTAGGGATGGCGTCGTTCACCTTGGCTCCCGAGCAGGCTAGAGTCACAGTGTCGAACCAAGCTTTAAGCGATCGGCCGCAGCCCTGGTCGCAGACTGAGTCCGTCAAGTTTTTGCTTTCCAACGCGCCTCGGTATCGGAGCTCGCGGAAGCGCGTA